GGGATCTCTTCCTCCCCAATCTCAACCCCCCCGGTCTCCCGTCTGTCTGCTGGGTTCCTCTGCGCCCTGCGATGCCCGTCTGGGTTGGCTTCCTTGGACACTCAGCCTCCACCCCCACCTTCCCTCCGACCAACTGTCAGTTTATTCTTCGCTACAAACAAAACACGGGGAAGCCGGCGAAGCATCCCCAAAGCGAAGGACGGGTGGGAAACGGCTGGCCAGTATGTGAGAAGGCAGGCTGGAAGTGGCTGTGGAAGGGAAAAGAGGCGGCCACGGGTATCGGTTCTCCTTGCGGTAGATAAGGGAGGTTCGTAGCAAGGGTCCGCCGGCAGGTAGGCTTGGGCGGGTGTTAACTTTCTAAGCAATTCGGAGAACCAGTTGTTGGAAGAAATCTCCTTTTGCTTTTTTCCCACGTTACAGGGCTAATCCTGTAAGGAAGGCAGGAAGGAAGCCTAATCTTTATTGCCCTGCTTACAGAAACTGCCTCTCTGGTTAATCCTTATTTCATTGTAACAGCTAAGGCGAAGCACCCGTCGACCTGAATGACCTTGAGTTGGCCACGCCCTCCCAGTCACATGACCTCTGAGCCCCGCCTTCCCAGCTGGTCATTAGGACAGAGAACCAGTTGTTAAATTATTTCAATCCCACCACTGGTTCTCACTATCCTCCCCCCATGCGGATGGCTGATGTTCGGACTTGATCGAGGCCAACCGCCTCACATACCAACCTGTTGAGGGCATTTGAAGATGCAACCCACATGACACCTTAGGGAGTTGCAGATTGGACATGGGCTAGGGTAACTGGAGGGAGGGGGCTGGGCAATCATTTGATATGTACTTGTTTGCGCCTTTTTGGCTTAGATCTTGCTTTCCTTTGCTTTCAATTCATATCTAGTAAAAGTACTTTATCTTTATTCAAATGGAGTTGAGGTTTTTCTTAGAAAAAAATAAATCACTTTCTTGGAATAATGAAACACCTTTCTTTCCTGTGGGTGGGTGGGTGTGGTTACACTATCTGACTGGACAAGAAAATTGATTCTAACTCCTCCTTTCGGTTTAAATCAGCAATATGAATTGAACTGTCTTACTTACTTATAAGAGCTTCCCCTCAATCTGTCATCGGCATCCTCCTTGGTTTAAGATTTGGTTTTTCCTCTCTGCTCTAAATAATTTACAAAAGCAGAGATATTCAAACATGGGGAACGCTTTCGTTGCCTACCGTGGTCATGTTGTCACTGCCGTTACTGTTACTGTGGCTTCTGCTATTGTATTTTGCATCGGTAAGTCATCCAAACTCTAATATTGCAAGCTAGATAATGATTTCATTTCTACTGAGGAGTTTGTTTGTTTGCATTCCCGTTCTTTCCCCCACCCCACCCCACCCTGCCTTTTTCTGTGGGATAGCAGCAGCCAGGTTAGTGAAGGGGGTTGGGCTGGCTCTGGTGAGACCCAGGTTGCAATCCTCTCTTAGCCACAAAAGCTCCTTGGATGGCTTTGGGCCCTTTGCCTTCTCTCTCAGCCCAGCCTACCTCACGGGGTTATTAAGTGGGGTTTTTTTTCCTGCGAGACCGGTCTACCCAATCGGAATGGGACTGTCCTCCTTGTAGCTTTCGCTGCCCTTTGTTTGCCCCCAGGGTTTCTCCCCCAGTCATTCATCTCTACCATTTCATCTCCGCTGTTAGGACCCTCGCTATTTGCCCTAGGCAATGGGACCCATCCTCTTCCGTCCCTGGCCCTTCGCCACAGGCCATTGGGAGAAATACTGTTCCTTTTGGGCTCAAGAGACAGTTGATCAACAGCCAATTGGAGGAAGGGAAGGGAGAAAGAGAGAGGGAGGGAGGGAGAAAGTGTTCTGTGTCAAGCTTCCAGTTGTCTTGGGTTCTTTGTATCCTAATTATTCTAAATTGCTCTAGTCATGTAATCTAAATTGCTCTAGTCATGTAATCTAACTACACTGTAAAACTCAGTCATATAGCCTAACTTAGATTTACATCCTTCCTGGTAGTATTTCTGTTTTGTTTTGTTATCTTTTCCCTTCTCTGTTTGCTTAATTGTCCATTTGGTCCCCTTATTAATAGCACAAAAGGTGTGAGGATTGCTCTGGTATTCAGAATAGAGCAGTGATGGCTAATCTTTTTCCCATCATGTGCCAAAAGCGGGGGGGGGAGCACAGCGGGGGGGTCGTTCGTGGGTATGACCACACCCATAATTTTATAGGTTCACCTTCACGGAGATAGAGCATAGTTACGTGCTGATTCCTGGAGGAGAGGGGAATATATAGATACATAGATTTATATAGAATAACAAGTTTCTACTTTAATGCGATAATACTTATTACTTTTTATTTATTATTATACCCTTCAAATTCTATATCTATTGATGGGATAATTTTCTTAGTTTAGCTTTGGAAGGAAAAAGGGTTTATCTCTGTTGAAAAGACATGAACTTGGGAAAACTGACTAGTTCCTGTGCCTAATAATTGCTTTAACAAGATGGTAATTATTCAGTATTTTGTTATTCTTTCTAATTAGCCTCCTGGGACTATCAATTCTTGAAATGAGTCAGACAAGGCTACTGTTTTTAAAAAAACTGCTGTGGCTTACATAAATTAAGAGAAATGGTATAATAATAGATATGTTAAATATGGTGGTAAGCAAATGAATGATGGAATGTTTGCATTAAAAGAGTTTTGTTTTTTTATAAAACACACACACACACACACACTCACGGATTATAACCTCAACTTTTAAAATAATATTGGCACAAGTTTTTTAAAAAGCATCGCATTTATTAGAGGGAGTTAAGTTCTCTGTCTCTGTCTCCCCCTCTTTCATTCTACTTCTTTCTCCCTCTTTCCCTATGCTTAAGGTTAAGTTGTGAGCCGCCCTGAGTCCCCCCAGGGAAAAGGGCGGCATATAAATAAACTTATCTATCTATCTATCTATCTATCTATCTATCTATCTA